TGGATCATGTGATAGATATAGTTTAGCTTTTAACTATAAAACTGTTTTCCCAGGGCGCCTGGGTGGCTCAGTGGGTTAAGCCTCTGCCTTCGGCTCAGGTCATGATCTTAGGGTCCTGGGATCGAGGCCCGCATCGGGCTCTCTGCTCAGCAGGGAGCCTGCTTCCCCCTCTCTCTGCCTGCCTCTCTGCCTACTTGTGATCTCCCTCTCTCTGTCAAATAAATAAATAAAATAAAACAAAATAAAACCCACTAACTGTTTTCCCAGGTGACCGTACTGTTTTTCATTTCCATCAGCAATGTATGAAAGCTCTACTTCTTCCATATCTTTGCCAGCACTTGATGTGGTTCATCTTTCTAACTTTAGCTATGCTAGTAAGTATGTAGTAATATCTCATTATGGTTTTAGTTACATTTCCTTGATTATTAGTGATGAAAACATTTTAATGTATTTCTTTGCCATCTGTATTTTTACTTCAGTGGTGTTTGTTCAAATATTTTGCTCATTCAAACAATTAGATTTTTGTCTTATCATTGAGTAGTAAGAGTTCTTTGTGTATGCGAAATGCAAGTCTCTAACTGGACATACATATTTTGCAAATATTTTACCTCAATGGCTTACTTTTTATTTTCACAAAAGTGTATTTTGAAAAGCACAAGGTTTTAACTTTGAAGAATTCCAACTTATCAATTTTTTCTTTTGTAGTGCATGGCTTTTGTCTCTTGTTTAAGAAATCTTCGGCAAACCCAAGATCACTAAGATTTTATCCTATGTTTTCTTTCAGAAGTTTAATAGACTATAGCATCTTGGTATTGGTTTTACTAAAAAAAAACCCTACTATTCTTGAATTTCTTGTTTGTGAACTTTGATGATGATACTAGATTAAGGAGCTGTTACACACACACACACACACACACACACGGCAGCAGAGAAATACAGCATGGACGAGGAGGGCACATGGACTACAGCAGGGAAGTCAATTTGTCTTTTTAATCATCTTTTTTGCCTACTATACAAATGGACCTGTGAAGCTAACAAATATATGAAATCAAGATTGTACTAGAAGTCCAGGCTGTAGATCACCCAATTTATGCCTCTCTTGCACACCCTAATGTAGAGGTTTGAAGAAAAAGAGAATAACAAGTCACAATTTGTTGAATAGGTGCCATGCCAAACGTTGTGTTGATAACTTTATATTCTAGGTGTAATGGATATTATTTTATACTTAAAATGACTTCCTATCTTGGTTCTATTATTATCTCTTTTTTATTTTTCCATGAGAAGATTATATCATAAAGAAGTAAAATAACTTATTGAAGTCATCTAGCCATGTCTATGTAATGGTAGAGCCCATGTTCTTAATCACCAATAATTACAGCTAATAAATATTGGCTGCTTACTCTGTGATAGACACTGTGCTAAACCCTTTACAAGTATTAACTAATTAAAAAAAATTTTTAGAGTATTAAGTAAGTTAATCTTCAGAACAAAACTAGATAGTTAGGTAGGACTATAATGCCTTTTTTACAGATGAGGAAACTGACATACTAGACTCCAGTTCTCACATCTACTAAGAGCAAAGTCAGGATTTGAATCCCTGTGATCTGGCTCTTGAGTCTTCGCTTGTAACCATTACGCTACTCCATTTCTCCAGGAAGAATAATTGATGGCTGAATTTGTTGGGTAAATCAAGCAAATGCCCCAAATGAATCTCCTTCTCCAACAACTTTTCCAGATGTAAGATGGTTTCTTTTATACCCCTCTTGGTACCAGCTCTCAGTGACTTGTCACTCTCCTGTTCCTTTCTCACCTTTCCACCATGGCTTACCCTGAGTATGCCTTCTAAGTGTCTATGGTGATTATAAACAGAGCCATGAGTGTGCTAGTGGGAGAGGCCAGGGGCGATATCTGCCTCCCTCAGCAGCAAGAGCCTCAGGAAGTACCATAGAGCTTGAGCTAGGACCCTCTAAAGAGAGTGGCTCCTCTTGGAGTCTTTAATCCATTTGTTTCCACTTCTGGCTTGGTTAAGGGAGAGGAGAGGGCCATTAAAGACCCAGAAGAGGAACCTATGGATTGCCTGTAGTTTTTTGAACATCATACCACTTGAGTATTATGCAGAGAGAGATGTGACTTAGGCTTGAGTCCTACATTTTTGCCTTAATTCTTGTGACTTTGGGCATTTTAAAAAATATTTTATTTATTTATTTGATAGAGAATGAGAGAGAGAGCATGAGAGGGGAGAGAGTGAGAGGGAGAAGCAGACTCCCCACTGAGCAGGGAGCCCCATGTGGGACTCGATCCTGGGACTCCGGGATCATGATGAGCCAAAGGTAGTCATTCAGCCAACTGAGCCACCCACGTTCCTTTTGGGCAAGTTTCTTAACCTCATTTCACTTTAGTTTCTTTGTTTGTAAAAGATAGAGATAAGACTGACTTCATAGGAATTTTCATGGTCTAAGTAAACTGTTATACGTAAATAATATAATAACATCTAACATTAAGTACCCAGTCTGTGTGAGATACTCATAACAGTACTTTTTGTAAGTTAACTCACTTAAAGTTCACGAGAGTATGGAACAGGTACTATTATTATCATCGCTGTTTTACAGACGAAAGATCAAAGCACAGAGGGACTAAGATATTTGTCCACAGTCACTCAGCAGAGATCAGAAAAACTGCAGCTTGAGCCTCAGCAGCCTGATGCTAAGCACTGGCATTTACTGAACTTGCGTAAGTATTTCCTTTGTCCTTTAAAAAAACAAAACAAAAGAAGAAGAACCTTTTCTAACCTGTTCTGTGGGAACTACTGTTTTATAGCCAAACTTCAAGCCCTCTCGGGTGCCGGGGTAAGTGGTTACCCAGGTCTGGACTGGTTGATGTAGGATCCAGACTTGGCTCTGACCAGCTGCTTGACCTTGGGCAAGAAGGTTCCACCTCCCTGAGTGCCGTGTTTCTCTCTTATAAAATGTTGAGGGGGTATACTAGTTAATTTCCAAGGCCTGTTCTAGCTGTCACATTCCTCACATCTATGATTCTGTGATTAAGTTCCTGGAAGGTTTAAGTACTGATAAAAGTGCCATTAAGTTCTGTATACTCAGCACCGGCAGCCGTCTGTTACCTAAGATACCTGCGACAAGCAGTTTGGGGTGGGGTGGGGGTGGGGGCGGGGTGGGTGGACAGGAAAGGCTCTTTGTCTGGCAACTGTGTGTTGTACTGTAGACCATGGGAGACTGTCACCAAAACGCAGTGTCACTGAATTTCCTCTGATTCCGGACCATAGTATATTGAGACTGACCATCAAAGACAGTTTCCTAACAAGAGAACCTTGTGCAGTAAGTTCCTCAGGCAAGTGACCAGATATTTGAGACAGGATTGAATGGGTCTCAGGCAGAGACACTTGGAGGACAGACCTATTTGGGTAATGAACTGGTTGACCCAGGGCCTCTCTGTCTATCATTCCTTGACCTCAGGTCAGAGTGATAGGAAAGAGGAAAGCTACTAAGGCAGCTGGGGATACTCTTGCCCTGAAGTCTTAGAGTTGAATAAGTGACTGTTTGTCCAACATGGGTTAGTCATTCACCTGCCTGAAGGCAGAAGGCTACAAGTCTAGGGTCTATGACCTGCTGGACATATTTTGGCCACGAGGTCCTTGCCTCCATATGGTGACTGCTTATTATAAAATCCTAAAGCTGGCTTCTACGACGTGATTGCTGCATCAATGATGACCACCACCACTGAGCCAGTGCTTGTTCTATGATAGGTTCTGGCCAAGAACTTTTAGCTCCATTATGGTAAAGGCACTGAGTCTTAGCTTGGCCACCCATTGTCTGTTCCACTGCTGGCAAGTCTGGTACTGTCTGCATTTCAATTTCTAAAACTGTAATCTATGTAAAAGTGCAGAGAGGCATCAAACGTTGTCATGACTTAAAAAAAAAAAAAAGTCAGTGGAAGACCTATGAGCACATGCACACAAAGCACCAGGCAAACAGGAAGTATTCAATAAGTGAGTATCATAGACTGGGTTTTTGGTATTCCTCTAAGGCAACACGGACCACTGTCCCTGTGACTCTAGCATCCTTAGAGCCCAAAGCAGGGCCTGGAGCACAGCAGGTACTCACTACTTTATATGAGCAAGGGGCCTCTCCACAGGGAAAGTCAAACTGCCATGAGTTTTTTTATGTCTCCCCAAATTCGTAATACCTAAGCTGGAGACACAGACAAAACATACTGTTAGTAGGAGGATTGAATGACCCCCTTGGCCCATAGTAGAGCGGCTGGACAAAAAAAACCAATAAAATTATATATATATATATATATATATATATATATATATATATATATATATCCCACCCACACACAAAGATACAGATGACCTAAATAACATAGATGTAAAGAAGATCAAATTGAGATAGTCAGCTAGCTCCACATTCTGAAGTTAGAAAAACACCTTCTTTAAGAGGTCACGAGACATTGACAAAAATTGACCACAGAGAAATCCTCAACACATCTCCGAGAAGTGGTGCAGATGACATTGATTTCAATACAACGAAAGTAGAAATTAAAGACAAAATGGGGGAAAAAAAGACAAAATGGGAAGACATAAATCACTAGGGTTAGGGGGAAATCAAAAGGGAAACTGGTATCATAATCAATGTTCTTCCGCCCAGAAGCACACGGCTAGCAGTGGCAGAGCTGAGACCGCTAGAATCTGGGTCTCCTGACGGAGCCATTCAGCCACGGACTGCTTTGCCTCTCAGGACAAGTCTCCCGGAGCCTCGGCTTCCCCATCTGTTAAATGGCCTCTAGGGCCCCAGGTCCGGCTGTGGGGTTGAAGCACGGTGGGGGAGGGGGTGGATTTGCGAGAGGCGCGGGAGCGACCGGGTTCTGGAAAGTCAGGGAGGGTGCGGGTGTCGAGAGACGGCAGCAGAGGGCGCTGGGTCGCCAGCCTGAGCCCGCGTCTGCCATTGGTCGGGCTCGGGCGCTGGGCTGGAGAGTTGGTGGAAAGTGACAAGTTGAGGGAGGCTGAGAGCCAGAGAGCGAGCGTGCAGAGCGGGAGGAGCCGCCGCAGCCGCCACCGAGAGAGTCCCGGGACGGGAGCCCCCGGGCGTAGGGCGCACTCCTCTCCGAGTCCGGGCCGGAGGGATCGGCCTTCTGCGAGCGCGACCCCGACAGCCCGGGACTGACCGGCGGGCGGAGGCGAGGCTGCAGCTGCAGGGCTGAGGAGGGACCCGCGCGCGGACGGGGTCCAGAGGCGGCCGGGCGGAGCGAGGGAGCAGGTTAGAGGGACAAAGAACTTTGCAGACGCCCCCGGCATCCTGCGGAGGGAGCGGCCGGAACGAGGTGGCCGGGACACCGGGCAGAGCCCGTGGATGTTCTGCGCGCGGCCTGGGAGCCGTCGCCGCCGCCGCCGCCGGGAGAGGAGGAATGCACCGACCGCGCCGCCGCGGGGCGCGCCCGCCGCTCCTGGCGCTGCTGGCCGGGCTGCTGCTGGCTGCGCGCGGGGCCGCTGCCCAAGGTAAGAGGCGCATCCGCCGGCTCCCGAGCCCGCGCGGCCCCCGGGGACCCTCCCGTCCGCCGCCCGGCGCTGGGCAGCGGGGTAGCACGGCGCCCGCCGAGGGGGACGGGGCGGCCGGAGACCCCGTCGGGGGTCCCGCAAACGCGACTCCGGGCGCCGGGAAGGCGGGCGAGGATTTGCCCCGGGAGTCCTGCTGTGGTCCGGAGGTGCCCCGGGGGCTTCCTCCTCGGCGCCCAGCAGCAGTTGTCAGCGCTGACAGAAAGCGTGGAGGGGTCGGGGGGCGTGGGGCGCTGGGGGCGCCTCCGTGCCGTTGTTCCCCCGGTCCCTCGCTGGACCCCTAAAGCGCCGTAAGCGGTGTTCAGGCAAGTCTACGGAGCCCCAAGGAGCAGCCGCCCCGGAAGGCGCGGTCCAGGAGGGAGTCGGTATTTTCAGTGGTGCCTTCGAGAGCCCAGGCTGTCCGCACACCGACCCAAACAAAAGCCCTGGCGTCCCGAGCCTCGGGCGGCCTCACAGATCCGCCGTCCTCGGCGCTCCTGCCTCTGGAAGCTCACGATGGAGGCCACAACGTGTGCGCTGACGCCGTCGCCGCCACTTTGTGCGAAATGTGCTGTCAGAGGCGGCCTGCTGCTCCAGAGTCCTCTGAGCGTGCACGTATGTGTGTGCGTGTGCGCGCGTGTGTGTTACACGCAAGGCGAGGGGGAAAGGCCATCTAATGCATACTTGATTTTGGTAATCTCCAAAGACAATTGCAACAGTTAGAGAAAGACTCCGCCGAAAGCCGGAGCGTCTTAGTTCACTGCGGGAAGCTTGGATCCTTGCTGTGCCCGAGCCGGTACACAATGAGAGGGAAGAGCCCGGCTGCGCTTGTGGAGACAACCGATTCATTCTTTGGAGGTTGGAGGGGGAAAGTTGATTAAAGTCTCCGGGGTCTTGGGCCTCACTTTTAACATGCATCTCTTGAGGGGGGTGCTGGAGTCCCTGGATTCTGCCTTCCCCCACTCCCAGCCCAAACCGGTGCAGATAAATAGGTTTCTGCTCTTTTATCATGCATCTTTCATTTTTAAGCTAAAGCTGTGCTTTGGAAAAGAAAAGACTTTGGGTTATTTAGCAGTTGAGGGGCAAAGATCTATTCAGTACTTAGACTATGGCTGCAGAATTAACTTTTACTAAAATCTAGCTCATAGTTTTCATGGTAGGAACACACTCTGGAAAGGGAGTTGAAGTTGTGTGTGAATTTTGATTTCTTAGAGTTGAGTTTGAGAACCACATTTTCTGAGAAGTATTCTGAAATTGATCCCCCAGTGTGGTTGTGGTAATCTAGAGGCCCCTCCGGGTAAATACAGTTCCTAATTGTAATTAAGATGTACATCAGCAGGGAGTGCACCTTCCTGATGAAAAATACTAATGAAATGTAAACAGCTTGGTCTCCTGGATGTTTGGTTCCTTCAGGGACGCCAAACATCTGGCCCCACACCACAACACCTGGGTCAGAAGTAAAAACTGGGCCATGCTGTAATGCGCGGAAACATCCTTCTTATGTCAAGTTGCTTAGCAAATTGAGGTGAAGATAATCAGGGAAGGGCTCTTAGCTTGGGTCCTTGTTTAATTTGGTTATATCCTCTCAACTTCTTTTACTTCTACATAATCTTTCAACAGTGGTTGCTTTTGGATCATGGGGGTAGGAGGGGGGAGGAGCGGACCTTTCTTTGGTCACCTGCCTTTAAGTAAATGTCCATGCAGTGATTTTGCTGCGTGTAAGACAATTTTATTATCAGCAGTCAGCCAAATTTTCTTGTCTAACTGTATACAGGCTTTAAAAATTAAAAGGGAAAAAAAAAGAGTATTGCCTATTCCAAACTCTTCAATAGTGAGCTCAAATCTGTTATTTTTGTCTTATTTGTCATCGTATACATCCCTTTCCATTTTTGTGAATGCTTGATTTTTTTCTCGGGGACAAGTCTTCCAGTGGAACTCCGGTTTACTTTCTTGTCTGATTCAGGATTCTTAAGGTAACCCAACCACTGGCTCAAGAAATGAGCTTAAGGGGAGACAGCTTTCAGTTACTTATTAAAAAAATGCTCAGTATTTCTCCCATTATTTTTTAATTTTATTAGCCAGGAGGAGCAAACCTTTATATTTACTTTTTCGGGCCTACTCATTGTTGATCTCCTCACCTGCCTCCTTCCTACCTAGGGCTAAACCTTCCTGGGAAGCTGAAGCCATTAATACTGTGTACTCAGCACTTAGGGCCTTAGGAACCCATTTTGCCTTTCTCAGAATCCTGTATATTGTGTGGTTTGCCTCTTAGAGTCAGAGGGAGGTGGCCTGCTACTGTGTTTGCTCTCATTTCATAAACCTTCCAATGCCATTTTAATACCTGTCTGTCCTGTCTACTTTTAGAATAGGAGTCTCTTGAGGGCAGTAAGACTGTCAGCTTTCCTGGTGAAAACACTGAAAGCCAAGTCAGCCAGCCCCAACTTTATTGGAGATGCCTGAAAATCCTCCCTTGGGGGGGCCACACAGTGGCCCAGTGGACAAAGGGTGTGGTAAAGCTGTGTCTGGCTATGTGTTGGAAATGTTTAATCCTCTATATTGGTTCAGCATATCTGTTAGGCTGCTTTGCTACTCGGATGCTATGCTTATCTTTCTGATATTTACTTAGGAGTCTTTAAAAACTCAGCTTTGGTCTGTATTTTCCTTTCTCCCTCTCATGTCTGGTGAGCCCAGCCTTCAAATTAGACTTTAAAGTTTCTAAATGGTGTGTCACTTGCATCCATTAGTATCCATTTTGGCTGTGGTTTGATGGAGACCACATACCCCATTTTGAAAATTTTTGAAAAGTTTGCACAGCATTGTATGTAGAATGGAATGCTTTGTAGCCCATGTGTATATTGATGTAAATGTATATCTACATATAAATGACATGCATGTATGCATCTATATAGTAAGTAGTCCATAGATTTTTGTTGAATGGAGAATAACTTTATTGGTTGCATGTAAAACTGTGGTGTCATATTTGTTCTTCTTAGTAAAAATGTAACATGACATACTTTCAAGGACTTTTTTCTTTTCTTGCCCCATCATTTAGTTTGAATGGAGTATAGTAGAAGTTAACAGTAGAACTTAGTGGTTATGAGCCTAGGCCTTGGAGTTTAAGAGTCATGGGTTTGAATCTTTTCTCTGCTTGTTGACTGGTTTTTCTGAACCAGTTAAGTGTTAAGAGATTTAAAATGAAACCGTATGTGTGAAGTACTAGAGAAGAGCACCCATCTGAGAGGTCTTAAGTTGGGGTACCTGAAACCAAGGATATGCAGCCGCCCAGAAATAATATACAAAAAAATAATTGCATATTTTTGGTTGTATGTTTCTAGCTATAATTTGATATTCTGAGAAAACGGCAATCCCCAAAAGATGGGAACCATTGTTTTGTGGAGTGTTTGATGCCTGGGGTAATAAGTTGCCTTCCTGGGTAGGTTGTGGGGGCTTGAGGGTTGGTGGTGGATCCTGGGCCCGAGCCCAGATCTGCACAATTCGTGGAGTCTCCTCACTTTTGCGGTTTCCCTCCCACCAGGCCAGGTGTCATTGGGTTTAGGAGAAGCTAAAGAATGGTGCCAAGTCCTTTGACCTCAACTAAGTATGTATTTCCTTGAAAACAAGCATTCTGAAATGCCTCTGTTTGTACAATTCATTTAACAAACACTTGGGTAATCCTTATAATGGGCCAGTGACCATTCTGAGGAATTTGCCAATATTAGCTCACTGACTCCTCACCACAAATCGATGAGGGGACTGGCATAATAAGCTCATTTTAATTTAGACCAGAGAGGTTAAGTGACTTTCTTCAGGTCACATGGCTAGGAAATGGCATTGCTGAGCTTCCAAACCAGTCCCTGAGTTCTTGCTCTTCTCTGCTGCCCTAGGCAATCTGTCCTGATTTAAGACTTAGAATTTACACTACGTATGGGCCAAAGGTGCCAATTCCCCATGTTTTCCAAGAGCAATGGGATGTTTTCTTAGCTCTATCTAGGGGTTACAAGAAATGATTGGAGACAGTCAACTTCAATTTTTCTTTCTGTGCTGGAGTTCCCTGAGCCAGTAGTCTTGCTGCAACTCAGGGATAGACCAGAAGTTTCTTTGGTGGTCTGCACCTCTGATCAGGAGGAATTATGCTGTTGTACTGAACTATAACTTTGATGCGGTTTGAGGAGTGTGTCTGGCAGTTTCTTCCAACCAGCGATGAGATATGTTTTGATGAAGTGTCTTTGTATTTGCATCTTGGTGTACAACTGGGATTGTAGGCTGAGCAGACTGATTTATTGGAGTTCTCTTTAGTGGAAGAGCTTGGCTTGCCAGCTCCAAGGTCCCTATGTAGACCAGACCCTGGCAAATCCAGCCCCAGCTAGGAAAACACTCAATTCTCTGAGACCTCCTTCTCAAAGAGAAGGGCCTCAAGCTGGCCTTCCTAATTCCCCTGCGGTGTGACAGGAGAAACTGTTGTGTAGACACACGAAGAGAAAGGAATAGTCTTCTAGGAGTCTGAGAAAGCCCTCTGGAGTTGAGGGGGAGGGGATGGCAGGGGGTGGGGTGGGGTGGGGAAAACTCTTCGAAATCCTTAACTAAATGCAGCTGCTTGTTACACGGAGCCTGACTTGCATGCCAGGAATATCTAAAAAGCTAACGAATACAAAATAAAAATAAACAGCAGTAAAAAGGCTCTCTCTTTGTTGCAGTAAGCTCGGTTGGGATTTTTAGTTTGTTTAGGAATGGGATAATTGTGGCATCCACTTTATTTTGGTAAGGCAGTGAAACGTGGATTGATGTTATGTCATTGGGATGCTCCCACCACCTGAACTTTTTCCTTCACACCTCCCCCTCCGAGCGCCCAGGCACGGATGTCCACCGGCCCACGTCGCAAACTGTTGCCCCTGAGTGAATTACATGGGAAGAGGGCAGATAATTTAATGGGATAATCTTGGCAGGGCCAGCAAATTTCACACCCC